ACACATAAGCTGTTATTTGCAGCCACTTACCCTGGTCTCCGGCAAAGGTGGGGGCAGAGTGGGCCAGAGACACCTGAAGAGAGACTGAAGAAGGAGGCTTTGGGGAGAGAACTGAGAGAGTAGCTGATGGGATCCTGGTGCTGATTCCTCCACCACCCAGCAGCAGCCACCTTGCTCAGGCAGACCACTCCCCAGAGTGGCAACAGCATGAGAGGACACAATAGCCTCATGCCCAAGAGAGACTCTGCTCAGCCCAATGGTGCCTAAGCCTGAGTGCTGAGAGAAGAGTGGCAGCCATAGATAGTATATCCCTGGCTAAAACGGGCACAGAGTGGACTATAGAGGCATGAAGAAAGACTGGAGATGGACGCTTTGGGAAGATAATAGAGAGAGTAGTCAGTGGGATTCCAGTGCTAAATCTTTTCTGGTATAGCAGCAGCCATCTTGCTCAAGCAGACCACTCCCCTGAGCAGCAGCAGTGTGAGAGGATCCACTAACTCTGCCACCAGGAGGGACTCTGCCCTGCCCTTTGGTGTCTAAGCCTGACTGATGAGTGATGAGTGACTAGATTAACAACTGAAGGAGACAACCACAGACAGTAGATTACTGGATGTCCTGAACAGTAAGCCTAAGGCCAGACAGGGTCAACATCTGACATCATAAGAGTCACATACAGAAAGAAAAAACGGTGGCCTTCTACCATAGAAGTTCACACCATAATGTCAGGAAATCAAGACAGATCAATTTAAGAAGCAGAAGCAAAAAAGAAGAGTATCACAAATAATTGGAAGACAAAGAAACACCCTGCAATAAAAAGGAAAGAAGGAATCACCAGAAAGAAAACTAAAGGAAATAGAGACAAGTAAACTATCAGATATTAAGATCAAGACAACACGTCTAAGGAAGCTCAGTGAGCTCAGTGAGCTCAAAGAGAATTACCAAAAACTACAGGGAAACTATGAGGAACTTACTGCAAACTATATGAGCATGAAAAAGGACATAGAAACTACCAATAAGAGACAAGAGGAAATGAAGAATACAATTTCAAAATTGAAGAACACAGTAGAAGGAATCAAAAGCAGGCTCGATTAAGCCAAGGATTGAATCAGCGAGCTGGAGGACAAGGTAGAAAAAAGGTCCCAGAAAGAAGAAGAAAATGAAAAAAAGACTCAAAAAGAATGAAGAGGTGTTTAGGGAAATGCAGGACAATCTGAAACATAATAATATGTGTATAATAAGGATAACCAAAGGAGAAGAGGAACAAGGGATAAAGAACCTATTTGAAAAAGTCATGATGGAAAACTTCCCCAACTGGAGGAGAGAAAAAGGCACACAAGTCCAGGAAGCACAGAGGGTCCCATTCAAGAGGAACCCAATGAGGTCCAATCCAAAACACATCATCATTAAAATGGCAAATATCAAAGACAAACAGAGAATCCTAAAGGCAGCAAGGGAGAAACAGGTAGTAACATACAAGGGAGCCCCAATCTGGCTAGCAGGTAACTTCTCAACAGAAACACTACAAGCCAGAAGGGAATGGCAAGAAATATTCCAAGTAATGAAAAGCAAAGGCCTGCAACCAAGACTGCTCTACCCAACAAGGCTCTCAATTAAAATGGAAGGCGAAATAAGGAATTTCCCAGACAAGAGAAGGCTAAACAAATACACCTTCACCAAATCAGCATTGCAAAATATGCTATAGGGAGTGCTTTAAGAAAATGAAGAAGAGTCTATGAATATCCCGTTCCTTTCTGAGTTGCCAATACTTGATATTACCAATATTTTTAATAATTATTAATCTGATTGTGATAATGATGTGCTATTTTAATTGTTGCTGTATTATTTGTTGAAACTAAACCTGTTTTTGTATATTTCTTGCCCATTTCTATTATTTTTAAAAAGCTTTATATGACTTCTTGGTATTCTGTACCCATTTTTTGACTATTTGTAGAATTTTTTCCCTTAAAAAAACACTATTAACCTTTTTTTCCGTGTGTTGCAAATACTCTTCTATTCTGTTCCTTGTCCTTGAACTTTTTAATATGCATATTACTATATAGTTAAATGTTTAATGTAGTCATATTGTCAATATTTATAACTTCTGGGTTTGAATATTTTACTTCAGGTCATGAAAAATATTAGTTCTATTTTCTTCTAAAACTCCTTAGATTCTACATATTGAGTTTTAACTCACCTGAATATTTCTTGTATAATGTGTGAAATAGGGTTCTATATTTGTTTTAGTTTATGTAATAGTGGTCCATGCACCTTATTTGTTGAATAAGCCATATTTTCCCCATTGATTTGAAGTATCAATTTAATCAAATATTACTTTGTTAGATATATACATTTGTTTATACAAAGCTCATTTTATTTCATTAACTTACTTGATTATTTCTGTTCTGGTGTCATGTTGTTTTAATTGCTTAGACTTTATAATGTATTAAATTTTTTAATATTTTATAATGGATTTTGGCACTTAAAATAAATAAATAAAAATCATTCTGCATTCAAAAAATAAAGAAAGAAAGAAGGAGCTCCTACCTTTTGCAACTACATGGATAGAACTAGAGAATATTATGCTAAGTGAAATAAGCTGGCCATTGAAAGACAAATACCATATGATCTCACCTATAAGTGGAATCTACTCAACAGAATAAACTAACAAACAAAGCAAACCACAGGCATGGAAACATGGAGGAGACTGACAGTGACCAGAGGGCTGGGGAAGGAAGACAATGGTGGAAAGAAGGGGAAAGGACTAGACAAAGAACATGTATGAATGACCCATGGACATTCATACCGTGGGAATTGACCGTGGGTGAGGGGGGTGGCATGGGACAGGTGAAGGTGGGCAAAGGTGAGAAAAATTGAGACAACTGTAATAGAATAAACATTATTTAAATATTAAAATTAAAATTGAAATTAAAAATAAAAAAAGAAACAGTGCTTAAATGAACATCCTTACATTTTTTTTTTTTACAATTATTTGATTATTTCTTTAGGAAAAAAATCCTACAAGTGGAATGCTTGGTTGAAAGGCATGTATATCTTTAAAGCTTCTTATGAAGCTTGCCAAACGGCTCTTCAGATAAGTTGTGCCAATAAATAATACCAATCTGTACCTTTTCTATGTGTCCAGAGTTCCTATTTCTATCTCTGCCACAGCCCCACCATACACTTGAACAAAAATGAGGATCTTGTGATGTACATCAGGAAGGTGAGCTGGATTTGGAAAATCTCTGGGACCTTTCTCATTTTCTCCTTTCATTGTTCAGTGGGCCAGGGAAGAGAGACGTGAAGATGCATCTGCTCATAAGTGAATTTGGGTGGCATTCCCATAAAGCTCTTACCACTGCCTCTCTTCTAAAAGAATAGAAGTCCTAGACCTCTAACACTGGTGGGGGGCACACTTTTTGACTAAGAGTCATTCTATCTGTCACACTACTTTTTCTCATCATTAGTAATGATAACTCACTTTGGCATTACTTGGTCACCAGAATTGCCCAAGAAAGAGAGTTTTCTCTCTCAGGACCAGCACCAGATTATACAGTCCTCCATCTCTGTTGACCTACAGCCAAATCCAACAGCAAATCTTGGTACAATTTTGGTAAGTCTCTTATTACCATCATTCCCTAACAGTTACTGTAGTCACCACCCTATTTCACTCTTCATTGCCTCATGCTTGTTTCATCATAAGGTCCTAATAAATGTTCTTATTTCCAGTCTCCACATCTAACCCCATCCCAGCTACAATCTGTCTTGCACATTGCCACCAGATTATGTTTCTTTTTGTCAAAAATGTCCAGTAAACAGCCCAAGTGCCCAACAGTAGATGAGTTAATAAAAAAGCTGTGGTACATTTACACAATGGAATACTACATGGCTGTAAAAATGAAGGAACTCTTACCCTCTGCAACAGTATGGATGGCCCTGGAGAATATTATGTCAAGTGAAATAAGCCAGTTAGAGAAATACAAATACCATGTGATTTCACTTATATGAAAAATCTAATGAACAAAATAATACTAGAAGCATGAATACATGGAACAGACTGACAGATCTCGGAGGGGGGGAGGGAGAGACTGGAAGAGACTAGTCAAAGAACATATATGCATATATGCATAGCCCACGAACACAGACAACAATGTGGTGAAGGCTGGGGGCAGCAGGAGCTGTGTGGAGGAGGGAAAATCGGGGACATCTATAATGGTGTCAACAATAAAAAAAATCCAGTAACTTCCAGAATATGACAGAGTAATATTTCAATATCTCAACTTGGGGTCAGGATCTTCCTCAAACTTTTCTCACCCCACATTTCTACCTTTCTCTCTCATTCCTCTTCCTACATCTTCCATTCCAGTCCAATTGGTTATCTTCCTATCACAGGAACAGAAGAGCAGTCCTAGACCTCTGTGCCTTTCCCCACCGCTGTGCCTTTCTTCAAGCCATTTTCCCCTTCCCAAATGCCCTTGTTTTCTCATGCTATCCTCCAGGGTTCAGCTTACGTGTTCCCTTCCTGAAAGCCTTCTATTAACTTCTGCTTCATTTAGCCAGACATATATGTAACAATGGACATATATATGACTATATACTGTTACCAATTCCTCTGTATTTATGCACCTTCTCTCTCCAGTTAAATTTTAAATTCAACCATGAGAACAATCTTTTTATCAGTCAAAACATACAACTTTATTAATGATACACAAATGAAGTCTTTGGTGGATAGATTCAAGTCAAAACAAATGATAGAAGTGTAGGCTATTAATAATGGACAAGTTCACTGTCAATTCACATAGAAGAACTAGTAAAAATATTTCCATTCAGGCAGCACAATTAAAGTCACAAATGTGTTTTCAATACAAGAGGACTATTTGGTATTCATAAAATGGTTTAGATTAAAGCTGGAGACTGTCACAGATAACATCACTCTGGATGATACGTTATTCAAACCTGCCAGCTGAATCACTTTACAATATGAACAAGTGGAGAAGCAGGAACTTTCCATTTTCATTGCTTCCAGACTGCAAAACCAAGGAATTTCCTCAAGTCTTTTGAAGACACATAACCAATCAGAATTTGTCAACTAGTTTTATAACTTTCACTTTCACCAAAAGGTCATGATGATCTGCTAAGGCTCGAATTTTCTTAACACACACTCCAGATGTAGTGCATAAATAAAAAAGAGAACCTTTATTGAATTCTCTGTAGTTGAATACTTCTGCTCTGAGATTGTCATAGATGATCTCAAATAGAGTAAGAGCATTAATAAGAATTTCTGATTCCACATAAGAATTATAGAGGGAACTAAATGATGATGGCACTTGGGTACTGAGCAGTTTTTTTAACATATCTGGATTTTCAGCAAAATTTGAAAGTATTTTCAAAATCTCAACCTTGATTTTTCCTCCTCCCTGAGATAACAAACGAAAAAAGTTTGCAATAGAATTAACAAGCAGGTGCTGGTAGTCATTAGTAATAGTCATATTTGTTAAAAATTTTAGTCCAACTACCTGTACTGCTGAGTTCAGATTTGAGGCCATGATATCATCCATCACTTTATTCATGTATACCTGAAGCCTGTCCTGATTTTCATAATTCTCACTCAGGTTATTCATGGCCATTAAGGCTTTTTCCTTAATGTGGGGATCAGTTTTGTTGATCATGTTTGCAATAATTGGGAGGCCTCCCAATTTACGAATTGTGTCTTGGTTGCATGAATAATTGGCATTGTTGCTCAGAGTGAGCAAAGCTACCTGTTGGATGAAAGGATCATCTGATTTCTGAAGCAAAGCAAGTACTTTCCTGAGATCACGGACACCCAGAATCTCATCAATATCATAAGGAAAGGGGCGCTTCTGCATGGGAAAGGGTCTCCTCCCTCTCCCTCTCTGCTGATTTTCAGGCTCAGAGTCTGACTCCGACTCTGTGTCAGTCCACCCAGACTCCCCATCCTCAGAATCAGGGACCTCTACCAGGAAAGCCTGTCCCCCATTAGCAGAGGCTGCAGCAGCTGCTGCAGCCCCATCCCCAGGGCGGAATCCCAGCCCCAATTGGTCTACTTCAACCTTGCTGTTTTTCTTGCCTTTGCCCTTGCCTCCAGTCCGGGACCTGGTTCCACCCTTGGCCCCACCTTTGGGTACAGCTCCAGTTGCTGACCCGGCCTTAGGTATAGCCCCAGTATGAGCCCCAGGAGTCACTTTCTTGGCAGCTGCTGCTGTTTTAGGGGACTCCAGGGTCCCGGGAGCCTCTGCAGCCTCAGAAAGCCCTGATAGTACAGGAGCCTCTGCTGCTTCAGTAGGTGCTGGTGTCCTGGGAGGCACCACTGGTGCCCTAGGAGCTTCTGCTGTGCCAAGGGCATTTGCCAGTTTGGGAGCCCCTGCCATTGTGGAGGCCTCTGCCTCCCTGGGAGGTGGTGCCATTGTTGAAGCCACTTCTGCTCCTACTACTGATTTTGCCTGAGGCCCAACCCAGGCCCCTTCTGCTTCCAGGGCCTGACTCCCAGGCCCACTCTGAGCCTCAGCACTGGATGCAGCTGGGACTGCTACCTCAAGTGCAGCTGCGTCCAGGGCTGAGGCTTCATCCTGGGCCCTGTCCTCTGTACCAGTGTGGACTGGGGCTGGGGAATGAAATCCTGGCCCAAAGTCTATTGTGAATCCAGCCCTTAGTCTGGTTCTAGCCCTGGCTCCAGTCCCAGCCAGAGCCCTTGTCTTGGGCTTGGCCAGTCTCTTCTTCGTCTGGTTTCTTCTCCTGGTGTATTTGTAAACACAGTACCAGGCACTTGCCCCAATTACTATCCCAGCGGCAACACAGCCAGCATCCCGAACTCGGCTCATGGTGTAGCTGGAATGATTCTCTGATCTGGGCGTGGAGCTGGCTTGCCCAAGCACGATGTGTGCACGTCAGGGCAAGGCACTTCAGCTCAGGCTCATAAGTTCTGCAGACGCTGCAAGTCAAGCAGGACCTGGGGTAAAGGATAAAAACGAGGTTTAAAGCACTGGCTCACTTTGTGCTTATTGAAGCGTAGAGAAGCGTTTGGGACATAATGCTTGGTGGGTTGGCTAGTACCCAGATACAGGTGTCTAGGCATGTGTTTGCTGATTCAGGACCCCGGTTGTCCAGCATTTTCTACATCTTCATCCTTAGCCTACCCTGCCCAATGTAAAAATAATTTCCCAGCACCTAAATGGGGGATGAGAGGCAGTACTGCTGTCAGGAAAGCTGATGGAGAGCAGGAAACTTAGTAGAGATCCCAGATTCTGCTCTGATTCTCCACCCCCACGACCCTGAGGGTCTCCAGATGGTGCTCATTCACATACCAATCTTCTGTAAGCAGGACTAGTTTGCCTTTTTCCAACAGGCCTGTAGTTGTGCAAGGCCCAAAATGCAGAAAGACCTGTGGAGAGATCCCAGAAAGGGTGTTTTGGGGCCTTTGATAGATGGATTCTGCTTCCTTTCCAGATTTGAATCCCTGTGGGTAATTCTCTCTCACAAGCCTCTTCTTTCCATCCCAATTACTTCCTTCTCTAATCTTTAATTAAAAAGGTGGATGGATGCCACACTCTTTACCTGCACCAAAAAGGACAGGCCCAAGGCAAGAGTGTCTTGTAAAGAAGATGGAGGAAGAGGAACCTCTGGTCCCAGATCTACTCTGGTTTCTGCCACACCCACACCAGGGGTTCCCAGATAGTTCTCACCCCAACACTAACCTCAGAGGATTCAGAGCTGTTTCTCCCTCCTTATGTTGTCAGAACTTCATCTTAAGGACAGACTGAAGGGCAGAAATACAGCCGGCATTGGAACCTGGTGGATGGAACAAACCCAGGACAAGTCCCGATAATTGCCTTTTAGCAGTCACGTACCAGAATGACAAATAGTTCTACCCACTCAATCTCCTCAATTTTTTTTCAGCTCTCCCCTTCCACCCCAACCCCTCACTCCAGCGCAGATTCCCCAAGCCCTCAACCGTTAGCCCCTCCTTCCTCTTCCCCCGCCCCCGTCCGCCATTACTCAGGGACAGACAGCCACACCCCTTCTCCTACACAGAAGCCGGAGGGGGCGGGGTAAGGGTGCAGTGAAAGCTGGATGGGACGCCGGACCGAGGATTACTGGCAAGCAATCTAGTGCCTCCTCGTGTGACCACTCGTCCTTCAGTCCCCAACTCCCCAGGCCTAGTATTAACTTGCAGAACAGGAGCCCCAATGTCTGCCCGTTTGATTTGAGGGTCGTGATTTTCTACTGTTTCTCTGCTCTGGGCTCCGCCTCCCACCCTCCACCCAAATATTCCGTTAACCGCCATTTCTCCCACCAGGGTACCCGAACTCTTTTTCCAGGACTGCCAAAAACGGAGGTGAAGGACTGTGGACCCTGGAAAGCAGCCTGGGAGTTAGCACGGCAGTTTAATATCAGATTCTTTCAGGGTTCCCCCCTCCTTTGAAGCCCACACAGTGCCAAACCCTCCATTCCTCCTGCAGAGGCTGGCACACCCATTTCCCAGCACCCCCAAGGACAGAGAGCCGGCTGGTGGGGAAGGAAAGGTGCAGTGACGGTGGTGGGGTGGGGGCGGGTAGCTGCAAAGTGAGAGTGGGAGTGAGCCTGCCGGACTGTTTGCAAATTGCGTGCCCCTGCAGTTACCCTTTCCTAATTTTCCCACTGGCCTTATTGCGCTGCCACGTTTACTTCTCTTCCCTCCTCCTCTCAAAACAAGACAGGACGTGGGGTGCAGGGCCTGAGTGTCAAAAACAAAACTGCAAAACACTGGCTTGGAGAAGTAAGCGGATTCTCCCCAAGTATAGAGTCGGTCCCCCCTCCCCCTCTTCCCTTCTCCCCCTCTCCCCCTCTCCCCGCGGCCCACCAAAATGAGGAGCTGCGACTGAGCACGGGGGATCTGGAAAGCCAGCCAGAAGCGGGCGAGGCGGAGGCACCAGCGGCCTCAGACTCCCGCATCTCGGGACTACCGCTTTCGTTGGTGCCAGGCCATGCCCACCCTCACACCCACCTGCCCGGATCTGGGGGGAATTTTCTCCTCCTCCTCCTCGCCTGGGTCAAACGCACGGCAGTGCGCAGCGAAATAGTTGGTACCCAGAGGAGGACGGAGGACGGCGGTCAGGGCTTTAAGTACCTTTGCCCACGTCAGCTCCTGGTCACGTGAGGGCCACATCGCCAGTAAGCGTGGGTCCCCAGTTTCCACTCCCACCAAAAGCGCGAGTCTCCTCCTTTACCCCCACTCCCATCTCACCCTGCCACATCAGGTCCTGTCACTCATTTTTTTGTCTTTGTACTCCCAGAAGCCAAAAGTAGCCCCCTTTCCGTGTGTTAGATTTTGCCTTTTTCTGGTTACTGAGGAGGGGGATGCATTTTGTTGGGCTATTGACAATTTCCACTCTTTTTTTTTTTTTTGGTTGGGGAATTGTTTCATCCTCTTCTGGGCAACTGGACACTCTCCCCTTGCTCCACTTCCAATCCCTGAACACCTAGTACCTATCATTTGCTTTGCAGTTGGGTCCCTGCTCCAGTATAGGTAAAGAGCAGAGTGTCAGAAAGGAGAAAAGAGGTGGGAATGGGGGCTGTAATTCTCTAACACTCAGTTTTGTTTTTAAAGCCATCACCACCCTTTATTATTATAGTAAGAAAATACAACAGGGTGGGAAGCCGCAACCAAAAACGAGTGGGCATGTTTTATAAAAAAGGTTTCACACTAATACTGGAAGGCATCATTGATTTTCGTTAATTTTTACCACATAGAAAATGAATTCTATTGGTTGCACAAAAAATAGTTTTCAAAATACGCTAAGGTATTTAAACAGGTAAAAATTGAATTTTTCTTAACAAGATAAGCATGTTTCCATATGATCTGTAAATTGGTCCATGCAGAGATATTCACTTATCTGATATTATTTATTTTGGGCAAATAATATCCTACTTTTTCTCTTTCTGGGATAACTTTTAAGTTGGGCAAATAAATGATCCTGTCTTGTTCTGTTAGAGAAGTACATTTATTTAATGTTCCCAAACAATTGCTGACTGCTGTGTGAACCTCCTGTAGTTTGATGGCTGTAACCATGACAGTTTTGAACACCTATCCTTGGATTAAGTTCCAGTTTTGTGATTCAGCTCTGGGCAAAAAGAGTTGTCAGGCCAAGGAGTTAAGGATGGGAGCAATGTAGAGATGGGTCAAATCCTCCCTGTCATGTCAAGGGGGCGGGGAAATGTGTTGCCCCTCACCCACTCCCATCTGCCAGAGCCTCTCATCAGCTGCAGTCAGGCACCTGACTCTGTTGCTCACTCCAAATGTATACATGGACAAGTGACCAAGATGGTAAATGTCATCTTTCCACAGGTGACCAACCTGAGTAAATGCCTTTGGCTTCTTCCCTCCCTCTCCCTGCTAAATTCCCACACAGGTAACTTAGGGATACATAGAAGGGATTGCTCGTCCTAACTACGCCTGCAGCTGTGGGTTTCCATGAAACCTGGAGAAGTGATTGCTGCCAGAAGCACCCATATCTGCCTGCTTTACCCTCATTCACTGTGCGGGAATTAACATTGCTCTTAACACTGTTTGCTGCTAACACCTGGCCTGAGATAGGCAGCCCCCTCTCACCTCTGGCCTTCTCACTGCAGGGCACCCAGGGAGATCCTAGCCTTGCTGCAAGGTCATGGCCTGCAGCCCACGCCCACTTTGGTGCCCCCTCAGCCAAATATATACCACACCCCAAGGGACTCTCCCCACTGGCCACACTGATTAACCTAGAATAGGTGTTCTCAACTGGCCACCTCTGTGTTCTACCTGAAATTCTATGCAAGTTTTTGTTTGTGAGTGTGTGTGAGGTTAAGTGCATTTTATTTCCAAAAATAGAGGTCATTAACCTCATCAGTTTCTCAAGGGGTCTGTGACAACTCCCCAAGTATTGAAAATAAATACAATGGCCTAGAAAGTCTGTGTTACACATAATAGTTCAGATTAGAAATCTCTTCTTTTTCTGGTAATAACAGGAATATATGTTAGTGATTAAAATATTCAAAACAATAAGGAAATATATAAAGTAATATCTTTTCCACTCCCAGCCACTACTAACAATTTCTGACTTTCTTTTTATGAACATATTAGTAAGTGCATTTGTGCTTATTGAGTTTCAAATTGAGTAACAATAAACAAATAATAGGTATTTGAAATTTGTGTTGTAATTTGCAGTAAATCTTCAAATAGTTTGAGGAGCATTGATGTCTTAACATTGGGATTTTCCCTTCATGAATAAGTTCTTCACTTTGCTCAATGTTAATCAAATTTCATAAGTTTCTTATGCTAAGTAATTCCTATAACCTGTTAGGATTTCCTAGGTATTTAGTACTCTTTGTTGCTGAAATGTTATTCCTTTCTCCAATTACAGCTTCTGTTAGGTAATTTTCTGTTTAAGGAAAATGTTAAATATATTTATTTTATATCTGCCAATTTTTATGATCAGTCTTATTAATTCCAATAGTTTTCAGGTGATATCTTTGGTTTTTGAGGTATGTATACATAATCATCTACAAGTGATGATTTTTCATTTCTTCCTTCACAATATTTGTACTTTTTTCCCTTTTCTGCATGTGCTACATTGACCAGAAACTCCACAACTATGTTGAGTAATGGTGGTGCTTGAACACTTCCTTATCTTGTTATTGAAGGAAGTTGAAATACCTCTTTTGTTTCATCATTTGGTATAAATTTTGCTATTTATGATATTTCTCTCTTTGTTTTCAAGGGTACTTTCACTTGCATTTACCAGTATTGCAAAAAAAGTAGTACAAATAAATAATGTCAGTGAGTGGAGGCAAGTCATAAGTTCTGTGATCTTGTTAGACCCCAAGGAGTGAGAAATATGGCAGGTCAGAACAGTCTCTATGTTCTTCATGAGGTTAAGAATTTTTAATATCTAATTTAATTTAACAAAGAATGATTCATTAGCTTATATTTCTATACTTCTTTATTGCATAAATGAAATTTCCCTCTTTTCATATTATACTATTAGTTTTTCTTTTTTAAATTTAGAAATGGGTAAGTTTATTAAATGCTTTGATCGTAAGGTTTCTTGTCTCCTTCAGTTTGCTGTTGTAATGAATAGTATAGATAGACGAGCTGTCCTGTCACTTCAGTACCCCTATAGACTATTATCAGCACATACTTTGAATTCAAACTCCTCTTCTCATGATATTTAAAGTAAACGCAAATGTTCTTGCTACAATTGACAAGGCCTTGCTCTTTGCAACTTCATTACCTCTCTATCTTATCTTTTACTGTTCATCCTCTTGCTTAGCCATCTTGGCCTCACTTATGTTCCTGGAATGTACTGGAAAACTTGCCTTCACAGAACCCTTGTATTCACTTGTATTCTTGCTTGGGATATTCTTCCCCCAGATTTCATCATACTTAGCTTCCTTACTGACTTCAGGTCTTTACTCAAAAGGTCATATTTCTAGTGATTCCTGGTCACTCTACCTAAAAGCTCAACCCATCTTGATTTTTTAAAATCTTTTCTGCCTTTTTTTCCTTTCAGTATGTATCAATAACAATATACTATATATTTTATCTTTTTTATTCTTTGGCTCACTCACTACAATGTAAAGACCAAGAGATTGGAGATTCAGGTCTGTTTCATTCACTGTTGTAATGACACCAATAAGAACAATGCACTCCATGTAGAGGGCAGTCTGTAAATGTGTTGAATAAATGAATTAATGCTTTTCGAACACTGAAACACTCTCTCACATTCAAGAATTAAAGCCTAGTTGATTATGTCATATTATCCAATTTGTAAACTTTCAGACAAGTAATTAGTTAGATCAGTGTGTTTTCATGTGACAAGGTACAGATTAACATTGCTTTGAGTGGCATGTGTAAAATTCCTTATGCAATGAGAATGATTGTTTACATTTTTAAATTTTTATTACATTTATTAAAGTAATATTGGTCAATAACATTATGTAAATTTCAGGTGTACATCTTTATAATACATCATATGTATACTTTATTATGCGCTCACCACCTGAAATCCAGTTACCTATCATGATGTTTGACCTCCTTTACTCTCTTTGTTCTCCCCCTGCCCCCTCTAGTAACCACCATTATGTTGTCTGTGTCTATGAGTCTTTTGGTGTTCATTTGCTGCTTTTTGTTTTATACCCCACATAAGAGTGAAATTATAGAGTTCTTGTCCTTTTACTCATGATTTATTTCACTTAGCATAATACTATGAAAATCCATCAATGTTGTCACAAATAGCAATACTTAATCTCTCTATGGCTGAGTAGTATTTTACTGTATATATGTACCACATTTTTTTTTATCCAGTCATCCATCAAAGGACACTTAATTTGTTTCCATGTCTTGGCTATTGTGAATAATGTTGCATAGGGGTATATGTATATTTACAAATAAATGTTTTCAAGTTTTGGGGGTAGATACCTAGAAGAGGAATTGTTGGGTCATATGGTAGCTCTATTCTTAATTTTTTGAGGAACTTCCATGCTGTTTTTCATATTGGCTATACCAATTTACATTCCCACCACCAGTATACATAGGTTCCCTTTTCTCCACATCCTCTCTAACATAGGTTTGGTTTTTTTTTTGTCTCATTGATAATATATGGTATTGGCAGAAAAACAAACCAATGGAACAGAACTGAGATCCCAGAAATAAAACCACATATTAATGGACAACTATTTTAAGTAAAAGAGCCAAAAACAAACAAAAGAGAAAGTTTTTTTTTTCAATAAATGTTTTTTGGAAAACTGGAAAGCTGCCCACAAAAAGGAAGGAAGGAAGGAGGGAAGGAAGGAAGGAAGGAGGGAAGGAAGGAAGGAAGGAAGGAAGGAAGGAAGGAAGGAAGGAAGGAAGGAAGGAAGGAAGAAACTAGATTGTTATTTGATACCACACACAAAAGTTAACTCAAAATGGATCAAAGACTTAAATATAACACCTGAAACAATAAAATACATAGAAAAAGTTCGATATTAAGCTTATGGACCTTGGCGTCAGCGGATTTTTTATGAACTTGACCACAATAGCAAGGGAAGTGAAACAATAAACGAATGGGACTACA